TGGGAAATGAAGAATTCGAATACTCGAACCTTCAACCCAAATGATATTCCCACAAAAACCTGTAACAAGTCACTAAACCCAAAGGTGAGGAACAAGATAAACAGTCAATTAATTCTCAATGTACAGGAAAATATTATATAGCTAATCTTATTCTCTGATAAGTTCCTTCTAAATAAATGAATAAATAAACATAAAAAAAAAAGGAATTAAGCTAATTTTCATACATTATATTCCACTAAATCAACTCAAAACATTATTTATGGAGTAACTAATCCGTAAAATTAGCAATGGTGGCGGTCGGCTCGCAAGCTTTAGCCGCTGGACTGGGTGCCACGGTTGGACTGGGCTCAACGGGTTTCCCCAAAAGCTCCTCGGGCAAGTCCCCGACACCCAAAAGCTTGAAAGGGAAGACCAGTCGCTGCAGCTTAACGTGACCGGAGACTCCCTGGAAAATCCCCGACCCACCGGTCACCGCCAAATACGAGTCCTCGTAGGTTAGTTACGATCCCTGCACCGATATGTGACCATAGTCTCCGAAGTAGAAGCTGTAAATCGCCTCATACCGGTCGCCTTTCTTCTCCGGCTTGTTCTGGATCAATATGGACAGTCCCGCCGTGATTCTTACCCGTTTCTGCAGGTCTCCGGTGTACAACTGTAACGACGAGAGTTGAATAAAGAATTAGGATAAATCACATTATCATATAGGTGCCAGTCAAATTTTCTGGTAAAACGAGTGCAAGAAAGAAAGTAGAAGAACCTACTTTGTTGCTGAAAGGGACAAGATCACCGAGAGAGTTCACCGATTTCTGGCTCAGTCGGAGATACGCAGAGCTGCCACGATCTCTCTCATTGATCTATAAAGTATAAACGCACAGTTCTTGAACTTTGGCTGCAGCAGATTAACAAGCAGAACATTAAACCCCAGAAAACCCATCATAAGAATGATTAATGCAGGACAGGGAAAAGATTAAGAAATTAAGAAACAGGGCATTAAGCCCCAGAAAACCCATAATAAGACTGAAACTAAAAACAGAATAATTAATGCAGAACAGAGAAAAGAGCTTACTGGGTCTTGGATTCTCAGATGGGTTGGCCTGACTTTTGCAGGTGAAAGATCGTTTGGATAGAGAGAAACTACTGGAGTTTTTGCGGTTCAGTTTGAGGGTTTGAGTTAGGAATGGAGTTTTGTTGAGATTTGAAGAAGGAAACAGGGTTTTTGGAGGTGATGAAGAAGAAGAAGGGTGTGATCTGGGTCGAGCTAATAGCTTCAGGGATGAAGTAAGAGTACTTCTGAGAGCAGAGGTTGAAGTAGCCATTGTGAAAAACCTTTTGAGTGTTAGAAAAATCCAGGAAAAATTGATTGGAGAACAGAGGAAGAAAGTCTGATTTGTATAGAGGTAAGTAGTGATTTGTGATCAAGTTTTAGTTGGAGTAGGACTCCTAAGCTCTGATTGTTGTTCTTTGAGCATTCTCCTCCACCTCCACATCATGTCATTGTTGTGCCTCAATTACAAGATCAAATAAAATAATTATTAGTAAACTTATGAAGAAATATTGATAAGAGAATATCATCTAAACAGGCGTAAAAAACTTAGTTACTTTAAGGCGATTCACGATTTTACGAAAAGTAGATTAACTGATACAACAGAGATACATTTAGCATATCGCCCTTAGGATATTACAACATTATAATAATACTCTATGAATCTGCAGTACCAACAGAGTCACCTTACTCAAAACACTCTTCTTTATGCAAGTGTGTTTAAAAGATAAAGATAAAGAAATAGGAGAATGAAGAGGAAAATGCATTTTTTTGAGCAAAAGACATGTTCTATTTATAGGATTAATGGTCTTGTAACTCCTATTTGTAGGTTAATGATATGAATAAATTGGGCAATTATTATGAAATAATGAGACAATTAATCTACGATGGCTAGTTTGACTAAGTCCTTAATAAAACAATAAATTTAATTTATAAAATATATTATTTTATTATTTTATTAAAATATTTAAGTTCAAACAATTCTCCCACTATTTTAATAAAAAATAAAACTTTTTTGGGCAAAGATGGATTATTATGTATAATAAAAGTAGCTAAACCTTGAACCTTTACTTAATGAGTCAACAATTCCTAATCTAAAATCAATAGTGAACTAAGTCTTGAACTATGATTTCATTGGAAGATATAAAAAATTGTATCACATATAATGATCCGAATATTGAGTTTTTCTCACAGCTAACGCATTATGGCTTTACGCATGATCCCGGTTTTTATGGGTGATCTAGAAAATTGCCCATCCAATTTTCATAGAAACGGCTTCACTTCGATACTCACATAGGTGAAATTTGTCAAGAGTGCTCTCATGACCAAGACACCTCACTCATTGAGCTACAAATTTCATTAAAAGTATATAACTCAATCCTCAATTCGTTATGGGATAGATGCATCCTCGCTTTAGGAATGAAACTAAAAATTGTTTTTCATTAAATATTCAAGCATCTTTCAACAATGACTTTTCTATGATTCGTTTTTCCTATTCAAAACCCAATTCTTAGAATTCGGGTTGGGTATCCTCATAGGACGTTCTACATTATTAGGCTTAAATCTCATTCCCCTCGATAAGCACTAGACTTTGGACTATGATCATAGATTTTCCTCCAATTTTTGTTTTTGCCAAAGGCCTAGTTGGTGATATAGTGGGTAATGAAAAGAATTAAGTCATTCTTTTTCACACTTTTTCACATCAGCCCAAACATCTACTAGCTTGTAAAATTCACATTCATTTTTTTCAAATTCTTAATTCATGGTACCACAATTTTTTTTCAAATTCTCAATTCATGGTACCACAATTTTTGATGTCAAATTAAACCAGTGAACCAACATTTTCTTTCCATACATGTAGAAACATGTATTTAAGAATTTTTTAACTCAAATACCATTGTACCTTATTGTACAAAAGGAATATCCATCACATATCCCTTTTCTCAAACGCCTTATTATTTTTTTCATCATACACCATTATATCATAATTGTATAATAGAATGCATATCTCATTTATTTTGTTAAGCACCATTATAATTTATCGTATAATAGGAGTGCATATCACATTTGCTTTGTTAAGCACCATTATACCTTACTATATAATAGGAATGCTATGCAAAATCTCAATCAAGCATCATTGGTCTCATCACCAATAATAATATATAGGGACATCACAATCCCCCATATTAGGAGTATCTCAAATATGTGATTTTCACATTTCTCAAATAATTGAGTTCATGAAGAAACTCATTTTCTCACAAAATTTCATAAGAGCTTATTAGCTCATCTCACATTTTATTACCACAAATAGCTCCTCGGTCACGTAAGCTTAAAAATTTAACTTACATTTTTTTGGAATATATCAACCTAAATATCATGTCCATTTTTACCAAAATAATTACATGGACCAACTCAAGTAAGCTTTTCACTTGGGTTCTCAAAGTTTCACCTATTTCATAAAAAAACTCAATAAAATGGTCAATTAAATGCACATATTTATTCACCAATTTTTTAACCCTTAAAAAATAATAATCATCAATTTATTATATATCAATGGTGCATATTAATAACAAAATAATTATAATATGTCATACATGTTTACATGTACATTTCTAATTAAATAGCAAAAATAAAAAAGCATCCTCAAATTTGTAAAGCCTTTATATTCCAAATATATCATATTAATATATTTGCTCCACAATCATATTTAATTCAAACGGTTAGTGTAATATACTCATTGTTGATAAAACCCCCCCAAATTAATATGCATGCATTAAGAGCAAACAACTAGTTAATAATTCTTATAAAAATAACCATTATAGCACTAGTAATGGGCAAAATGCACCATTAATCTATCAATTAAGTAGCACAAATTTAATATCTATTTAATACCAAATGCTAATAACATGAAGTGTTCCTAAGAATTGCGCATAGGAGGCTGCTGAGTTTTACAAGAATCATGCATGTTTAGGCTTTATGTTTTAGACAAACTATGCAATGACCAAATACCTCCATGTATTTAACCCAAGAAAAATCATGAAGCAATAAGTAAGCATTCCAAGTTTCCATCATTTCTAGTATACAATTGGAATATTGGATAGTGATTAAATAATTAAATAAAGCATCAGATATTGCAAGAGGGTTAGAAACTCATACATGTTTGGTGCATATATATCAAGAAAAATCAAAATTTTTTATTATGATTACGCAAGACCTCATATATTTTACTTTTGCTTTGCACATTTAATCACCTTAAAATTATTGTTCCTTGAACACTCTCCTCCTCCTCCACATCATGTCATTGTTGTGCCTCAATCACAGGATCAAATAAAATTATTATTAATAAACTTATGAAGAAATATTGATAAAAAAATATCATCTAAATAAGGGTGAAAAGTTTATTTATTTTAAGGCAATTCACACAATTGTGGAGAGTAGATCAACCGGTGCAGCAGAGATACATTTAGCATGTTGCCCCCAAGATGCTACAGTTTCATAATAACACTTTATGAATCTGCACTACTGATAAAGTCACCTTATTCAAAATACTCTTCTTTACCTAAGTGTGTTTAGAAGATAAAGGTAAAGAAATAGGAGAATGAGGAGGAAAATGCATTTTTTTGAGCAAAAGACATGTCCTATTTATAGGACTCATGGTCTTGTAATTCTCATTTATAGGTTAATGATAACAATAAATTGAGCAATTATTATGAAATAATGTGCTTTTAAATAAGACAATTAATTTACAACGATTAGTTTGATCAAGTCCTTAATGGGACAATAAATTTAATTTACAAAATATATTATTTTATTTTTTTATTACAATATTTAAGTTCCAACACTAATGCCT